CAGATCCCAAATAAACCCATAAGACTGTGCACCAATTCCCCCAAAAAACAAGACGCCCCAACATTCTCCTCTCTAAAGCGGTAATATTCTCTCACTCCAGTTTGTCTATATCCTTCTCTTTTTATTATTAGTGGTGTTTATGGTTGATTATTTTAGTAGTTTCATTATTTTTAATTTTTAATAAATATTTTTTAATCAAAATTTATATTTTTGAGTTTAACTCGGCTAAACGGGCTGCAAAAGTTTACAAAAAAAAATCTAAAAAGTTTTGAAAAAAACTAGAAAGGACAAAAAACAAAAATAAAAAATATTCGGCTTTTTATTTATTTTTTAATCCATAGTGAATTTTTTTTTATTTTGAATTTAATTTTTTAGATTGATTTATTCAAGACAGACAAAGCAAAACAATTTGACATAATTTTCAAAAAACATTGCTAAAGCCAAAAAATATATATATATATTCAAAAAAATATGTGATTTTTTTAGTTGTATGCCAAACAATCCTGAGTAACTATGCTATGTAGTACCAATTGACTCACTTTTTGGCTCCCTTAAGGTCTAATCTTAGGGGTCACCACTTGTCACTACAAAAAAGTTGACTTTTTGCGACGGCAAAATGCCGTCGCAAATACTCAAAACGCTATTTCAACAACTTTTTTGCGACAGTAACTGACTTTTAGCGACAGCAAAGGAGGGGTCACAACAAAGGGCGTTGCTAAAAGTTTCTTGCAATGGCAAAGTGCCGTCGCCTTTTTTTTGCAACGGCAAAAAATGCCATCGCTAAAAGTATTATTTGTGAATGAGGTACTTGCCGTCGCTAAAATATTATTTGCGATGGCAAACAAGACTGTCGCGAAAGGTTTTTTCCCAACTATTGGCAATATCTTTTGCGACGGCAATGCTAACGTTGCAAAAAAAAATCTGGTTGTTATGTTTTTTTGAGACGGTGTGGTGCCGTCTAAAAAAAAAAAAGCAACAAAAATATTAAAAATATGAAAATTACCTGTATTAAATGAAAAATAACTAAAAAAGAAATCAATAATTATATAATAATATAAAAATTTCAGTATAAAAATAACAATTCATCTATAATAAAAATATTCTTCTATTCATAACAACACATCAGCAAAATTATCCCACTACATAATGTTACATAATACATATACAATGTTTAAATACATAATATTGTTCACAAATCAAAATAACATAAATCAAAAATAAAAGTTTTCCTCGTGATTCTTCTCCTTGTATCAAACTTATATCAAATTTTCTGAAATATTTACAACATATTTGCATATTACATATTTACGAAACATAAATTGAAGCCAAAACCCTAATTACTGAAAAAATAAATAAATAAATAAATAAATAAACAAAAACACAGAACAGTGTCTTGAGGACACACTGTTGCCGATCGCCAATCAAAGACAAGAAGATAAGAGAAGAGCAGAGAAGAACAGAATAGAAGAGAAGAGAAGAATACCTTCGAATCGATGATTTGATCGCTACTCGCCGCCGTTGTCGCCGATCGCCAATCGTCGCTAGCCACTACTGTTGCCGATTGCCAATCACCGCTCGTCCCTCGCCTCAGAGAGAGAGAGAGTGTGTGTGTTGTCTCGAAACTAGGGCTCTACAAACCTAAAAGGAAATGAAAAAAATGGGAGGAAAGACAGAGGGAAAAAATGGGGGAAGTTTCATTTTTATTTTAATGGGGAAATTTGTTTCATTTTTATTTTAATGAAATTTTTTTTTTATTTTGTAGAAGTAGGGGTAATATTTTAATGAAAAATATTTTTCGTTAAAATAAAGTTAATTTCTTATGGTCAATGAAAAATATTTTTTTGTGGCCTATTTGTTTTTGTTACTAAAAATCAAAAGCTGATTTTTTGTGGTAGAGGAGAGGGAGCGACAGTAGTGGTGAATGTGGTGGATAAGAGGTGATGGTGGTGGTAGTGGTGATGGCAAAGGAGATTAGTGGTGAAGTTGTGGTAGTGGTAGAGGAGATGGAGTGGCGGTGGTGGAGGAGAGGTAATAGTAGAAGTAGTAGTAGTAGTAGTGGTAGCTGTAGTGGTAGTGGTAGTGGTAGTGGAGTGGTAGCGATGATGGTAGTAATGGTAGTCGTAGACGTGGAGTGGCAACAATGGTAATAATGGTGGTAGTGGAATGACATTTGCAATAGTGGTGAATGTGGTAGAGAAGATGGGTGGTGAGAAAGAGATGAGTGAGAGACAGATAGAGAAAAGAGATAGACAGAGACAGAGACAGAGTGGTGAGCGAGAGAAAGACAAAGTGGTCGCTAAAAGTACATTTTTTTGTAGTGGAGAGCTCGGTAAATCGAGAAGAGATGAGAGAGTGAGTGAGCAAGGTGAACATAATAGGAGAGACAGACAGACAGACACAGAGAGAGAAAGAAAGAGAGAGAAGAGTAAGAGACAGACAGATTGACACAGAGAGAGAAAAAGAGAGAAAAGAGTGATGAGAGACAAAGAGAGAAAGAGATAGAGAGACAGACAGACAGAAAAAGAGAGAGAAACAAGATATGAGCGAGAGATAGACAAAGAGAGAGAGAAAGCGAAAATAGATGATCGAGAGAAAGACATAGAAAAAGAAAGAAATAGAGAGAGAAGAAAGATGAACGAGAGAGATGGAGATAGAGAAAGAAGAGAGATGAGAGAGAAACAAAGAGAGAAAGACAGAGAGACAGAGGCAAAAACAAACAGACAGAGAAGAGTGATGAGTAAGAGAGAGAAAGAGAAGAGAGAGAGAGAGAGAGACAAAGAGAGAAAGAGATAAAGAGTGAAAGATAGAAAAAGAGACAGAGAGAGAAGAAAGATGAGAGAGATAGAGAGAAAAGAGATGAGCGAGAGAGATAGAGAGAAGAGAGATGAGCGAAAGAGACAGAGAGAGAAAATAGATGAGTGAGAGACAGATAGACAGACAGACAAAGAGAGAAGAGTGATGAGTGAGAAAGAGAAAAAGAAGGGAGAGAGGAAGATGAAAAAATGGGTGAAAAGAGACAGACAGTGAGAGAAAAAAAAAGAGCGAAAAGAGATAAACGAGAGAGAGACAGAGAGAGATGAGCGAGAGAGATAAAGAGAAGAAAGTGAGAGAGAAAAAAGATGAGAGAGATAGAGAAAAGAGAGATGGACGAGAGACATAGAGAGAAAGAGAGAGACAGACAGACAGAGAAAAGTGATGAGTGAGAGAGAGAAAGAGACAGAAACAGAGACAGAGACAGGCAGACAGAGAAGAGTGATGAGTGAGAGAGAGAAAGAGAAGAGAGACAGAGAAAGAGACAGACAGACAGACAGAGAAGAGTGATGAGTGAGAGAGAGAAAGAGAAGAGAGACAGAGACAGAGATAGAGAGACAGAAAGATGAAAAAATGGGTGAAAAAAGAAATGTTATATCAAAAGAGTTAGACGATGTTTTTTTTTTTTTATGACAGAAAAATACCGTTACATTTATTTAAACCATTTTGTGACTATATATATATGAAGCCACAATATATATGTATATATATTTTTTTTTTGCAACGGTACCTATTACAGTCGCAAAAAACTCTTCTTTTTTTTTTTGCAACTGCAGCTAGTGCCGTCGCAAAAACTCTATTTTTTTTGCAACCGCAATCTCTACCGTCGCAAATACTCTCCTTTTTTCGCGACAGCATTTTCTATCGTCGTAAATGCTCTATTTTTTGTGACAGCAAGTTGTGCCGTCGCAAAAAAGTCACATTTTTCGCGACGACAAGTTGTGCCATCTCAAAAAATCTTATTTTTTTGCGACGACAAGTTGTGCCGTCTCAAAAGGTCACATTTTTTGCGACGGCAAGCTGTGCCGTCTCAAAAGGTCACATTTTTTACGACGGCAAGTTGTGCCGTCGGCCGTCGCAAAAAGTTCTGTCTTTTAAATCCACTTTTCTTGTAGTGTGTGTAGCGGGACTTTTTATTTTTATTTTTATTTTTCTGGATATGTGGTTATTATTTATGCTTTTTATGTTGGACTTTTATTATCAAAGTTTTGGATGTAATTTTTACTTATAGTGTATAAGAAAAAATAGCTTAAATAAATTAAAATAATAACAATGATTCATCCCCCTTTTCCACCCACCCCCTTTGACCCCCTCTTTCTCTCATTGGTTACATTTTCTTTTTCTTTTTCTTTTTTTTCCTGCTCCTCCAATCACCACCCGTCACGTGGCAAAGGGGGTGAGGGGGTGACCCCCAAAAGGGATCCCAAGCATTAAAACCCATCTCCAACAACAGCCACTCTAAAGATACTTAATTTTTTTTATTAAAAAAGAGCCTAAAAATGACTCTGTATATTTGGAGAGTCACTAGTCATCCTTTAAAAACATAAAATTAATTTCTTTCTTCTCTTCTTACTTTTAAATGTAATTTTCATATCAATTTTTTTTAAAGTTAAATTTAGTTGAAAAATAAATATAAAATAATATTTATATGAAATAAAGAAAGAATATAGAATATTATTGAAGAAAGTACTTGAAAAAATGATTTTCTGAAATTAAAAATACACTTTACATAAATTTTGAAGAAAAAGTAATAAATTATTGCCGGCGATGTGCTCAAAGTCCCATAAATAAGCTGCAACGACACACTCTCTTTCCTATCACTAGAAAACGGGGTGGGTGAAAAAGGAGATGAATCATTGTTGTTTTTTAAATTAGTAGTTAAACATTTAGGATAGGGGAGTTGTTTGATATGCTCTTAAGGTCTAGGAATAAACAACAAATTTAATTATTTGGTCTATTTTTATACTGAATATAGATCACAATATAATATTTTGATTTAAATCCTACACTACATAAAATTATAAATGAATAATATTAAAAATATTAAATATTTTATTAATATTTTTATCAAATATCTCATATAAACATTTAATAAAAATATTAATAAAATATTTAAAATCTCTAACCTTCTTCATTATAAATAAACTTACTACAAAACATCTATACATGCATGGAACAAACAAAACACAAGCTAAAATGAGAAATGGACACACCACTTCTCTCCTCCTCTTCTTCTTCTTCTTCTTCTTCTTCTTCTTCCTCCAGTTGGTGTTCTCTGAGTTGTCTCCAAACCAGAGAACCACCATGAACCAGCTCTATGGTCTTCTTCTCCCCAACAGCCAGTTTTCTCCACCTTCCCCATGGAATGTCACCAAAGACCCAAATCCATGTTCATGGAAGGGTGTTACATGCACTTCCAACAATTCTGCCATCACCAATCTCTCTCTCCCTTTTTTCTCCATCACTTCCTCCGATTTTCTTGTTTCTCTTTGCCAGATTGATACCTTGGAGGCTGTTGATCTCTCCAACAATCACTTGAGCTCAATCCCAGATGGGTTCATGACTGGTTGCGGAAAGATTACTGGGTTGAAACAGTTGAATATCAGTAGGAGCAAATTGTCTGGCCCTTTACCCACTTTTAATGGTTTTGCTAAGTTGGAGTCCTTGGACTTGTCTCACAATTCATTGGGTGGAAGCATTGATTTACAGCTTGATGGGATGGTTGGTCTCAAAAGTCTGAACCTTGGCTTCAACCAGTTCATTGGCTCTGTTCCTATCAACCTTGGAAAATCCATGGTTTTGGAGGAGCTTGGGCTTTCTTCCAATCGCTTTGAAGGTAAATTCCCAGAAGCAATTGCAAATTATTCTCATTTGACTGCAATTGACCTTAGTGTAAATAACATTTATGGGTCTATCCCTGGTAGATTTAGAGAGCTTCACAATCTGCAACTTTTGATTCTATCTTCTAATAATTTGAGTGGTGGAATCCCAAAATTCCTTTCAACTATCCAAAAACTATGGCGATTCGCGGCCAACCAGAATTCTTTTTCTGGTGTTATTCCAGTTGGAATTACAAAATATCTCAAGAATTTAGACCTTAGTTATAATAAGTTAAATGGGTCAATTCCTGGAGACCTTTTATCCCAATCAAATTTGCTGAGTCTCGATTTATCTTATAATTCATTAAGTGGGTCAATACCTGCAAATATGTCTCCAACCTTGGTGAGGCTGAGATTAGGAAACAATCAATTGAATGGGACAATCCCATCTTCATCTTTTGGAAGCCTTCAAACACTGACCTATTTGGAGTTGGATAACAATAGTTTGAGTGGACCAATACCTCCTGAATTGAGTTCGTGCAAGAATTTAGCACTGCTGAATCTTGCTGACAACCACCTCACTGGTGTTTTGCCGGTACAGTTGGGTGTTCTGAGCAAACTTCAGGAATTGAAGCTTCAATTCAACAATTTGTTTGGAGAAATCCCAATTCAAATTACCCAATTACAAACATTGCAGAAACTGAATATCAGCTGGAATTCGCTGTACGGTTCGATACCACCATCAATTTCAAGCTTGCAAGCTCTTACCAACTTGGATTTACGATGCAACAATCTCAGCGGTTCAATACCTGTTTCGATTGGTAACTTGAATTTCCTTATAGAACTCCAACTAGGGAACAACAAACTCAGTGGGACAATTCCGTTGATGCCACTGACTTTGCAGATTGCTCTAAATTTAAGCAGCAATCTCTTTGAAGGGCCTATACCTAGAACGATATCAAAATTGATCGGATTGGATGTGTTGGATCTTTCCAACAACAAATTTTCTGGTCAGATTCCAGATTTTCTGGTTGAAATGACAAGCTTGACACAATTGGTGCTTTCCAACAATCTGCTCTCTGGAGTGATTCCCAAGTTCCTTCTATTCGTTACCGTTGATGTAAGTGGAAACAAGGGTCTCATTAACACTACAAATTCAAACTCTCCCTCATTATCTCCGAAACAGAGAAAGACAATGGATGTGGGAGTCCTTTCGTTTGCTGCTGGCAGTGCCTTGGGCTTTGTGTTAGTAACAATTATTGTTGTAATAATTTCCAGACGAGGAAATGGTGGTTTAGATATCATGGCTTTTGTGGACATGTTAATGGGTTTTGAACGATTCTTAATACAGTTTTATAGTGTCAAAGGTCATTGTATAACTGATAATAGCATCCACAAATCAAAGCTTAACTTATCCAATGCCATGGAGGCAGTTTCCAAACCTGTTAACATGATGCTGAAGAGTGAGTTCTGCACCTACTACAAGGCTGTCATGCCTTGTGGGATGAGTTATTGCATCAAGAAGCTAAATTGGAGCTGTAAGGCATTCCAATTGCTTAACCCTGAGAGGTTTGTTCAAGAGCTAATGGTTTTAGGTAAGCTAAGCAATTCAAATATCATGATCCCTCTAGCTTATACTTTAACAGCTAGTAGCGCATATGTTGTTTACGAAAATCCTCAACATGGAACCCTCTTTGACCTTCTTCATACAAACACACAGCCCAGTTTGCTCCTCCTTCCCCATACAGTATAGCTGTCGGGGTTGCTAGAGGTCTGGCTTTCCTACATGGGTGCTCCACCTTGACTGGACCCATAATTCTCCTCCATCTTTCGACAAAAAGTATCCTGATGGAATCACTTTCGAAGCCTTTGATTGGAGATTTTGATCTTAGTAAGCTGATCAATCCTTCAAAAACCATGGGGACAATCTCAGTTGTTGCTGGTTCACTTGGGTACATCCCTCCAGGTAATCTGCTCTTTTTTAACTATCTTTAGTTCAAGTAAATATTACTGTTATTAGTGATCAAATTGTACTTCTCTTTTCATAAACAAAATGAAATGATATGCATAAAAATTCTGAACTTATTGTGATGGGAACCTTTTTGTTACTTGCAGAATATGCATACACAATGAGGGTGACTCCATCAGGGAATGTTTACAGTTTCGGAATCGTGATGCTAGAATTATTAACCGGCAGGCCTGCTATAAGTGAAGGGACTGAGTTAGCTAAATGGGTACTGACTCAGACTCAGTTGATCCATCACAACAAGTGGAAAGAAATTCTTGATTGTAGACTATTAAGTGATGCATCAAGAGGTGTTCATGATCAAATGCTTTCAGTTCTTAGAATTGCTTTAGGTTGTATTGCCCTCTCACCAGATGAAAGGCCAAATGCAGAAAGCTTGCTCGATTTGCTGCTTGACGTCACAACAATTTAGTCTGTAATTATGTAACAGTAATTGTGGCAATTTAGTAGCATGGCAAACGGAGTTCACTACATTGTACCCCACAATCGGTTTTTCAGGAATAATAATAGGACATGTTTGTTTTGGTTTAGACAAGCCATTCTGTGACAATGTTCACTAGAAATTCTGCATAGCTTTACTTCAATTTTGGCCTATGACTGGTTTGTTCCCAATACTATCCTGATAAATTATAACAAACTTCTCATATTAACCCTTTACATTATGACATTTACATACCCAAATTTATAAATAGGCAGGTTATTTGTATCCCAACTCTGTTCTATCTACTTGCATCTCCAGGGCAGTCTCTCTAGCAAGTTGTTTTTTGGGTTTTGCTTTCTTCTTCGAATACCAGAGACCAGAGAGCAGTCTCTCTAGTGAGTTGTTTTTGGGGCTTTGTTTTCTTCTTTGAATACCAGTATACGTATGCAAAATGATGGTCCATTTCAAAATAACTAAATTAGCCATTTCTCAATGTAATTTAAGCAAAACAAAAACAAAATAAATTCTAGAGGAGTTCTGAAAAAACCTTTTTATGTTCCACTGTTCTATCATTTTGTCTATTTGGTTTAATAAAAGTAAAGACTTTGTCAGTGGATGTCCACCATCATCAAACACAACTGCCACCTCTATCACAACCAACAAATAGATAATTTTAGTTCGAAAATTCTCTGTTTGCAATTAAATTTATCTATTTAAGGTAAATTTATCCCCTTTTTTTTTTTTTTTTGGGGGGGGGGGGGGATACATTGAGATGGTTATATATAAACTGTTAGCTACTGTTGCTCAATAAAAAAAAAAAGTGTAATTTGTTAACTATTGTTTGAGTATAAAAAATGTTTGAGAAATCTTAACTATGCCGGCAAAAAATGTTTTGGCTAAAATATTGAGTATTTGAATTTTTATGTATACTTGCTTATTATAAACCGCCAATCCGTCCAAACCATTAAGTCAAAACCGCTATTATTTGCCAATCGAACCACCGGTTTTTGATAAACAACACGGCTATTTCTAATGTCAATTTTGTTAATCCGCCACCCGCTGTGCAGTTTTTATTTTACCCTTAAAAACCGCACTGCGCACACCCCTACCAACCACTTCCAATAGTCAAGAAGAGATGACGGGCTATAAAGGAAGATTTCTACACATCTACAACGAAGAGATCAAGGATTAAAAGAGAAATTCATTAATATCTTTTCAGATTTGAGCCATAACTTTTACATTATTTGTTCTTGAGCTTCATTGTTGCTTATTGTACTAAAGAAGTCTTGTCCTTTCTGTACACTATTTGTAAAAGGCTGTTGAGCCCTTGGGATTGGTTGCTCAAGTGTTTGGGAGAAACACTTGGAGAAAGTGAGAACTTTCATGCTGTCTTTTAGAGAAAAATATAGCGTTGTTCTGAAGTGATGTTGGGACAAAATCACTTGGTGTAAAGATCTAGCAACCAGAAAGCTTGCTAGTTGTTACCATTTTCAAGAATAGTGAAGAAACTAGAGGGGGAGCCTTGGGAGTGGACATGGGCTTGGGTTAAACCAAAACTACTATAAATCTTGGAGTTTGAATCTCTTCTCTCTACTCTCCCCTTATCTTTCTTTAATGCGTATTGCTTTCATTTCTTTTGAGCACACATCCGTACACTTGCTTATATTTGTTGTGTTGTTTTTTAATTTTTTATTTGTCAAAAGCTATTCAATGCCCATATAAGCTGGAAGGCAGGACTGAAAACGAGTAAAAAATACAAAAACAGAAAGCATAAAAATCAGAAATGAATAACTTTACGTTTGATCGGGTGATGTCAGACGATACAAATGGAATGCATGACGAAACAGATGCTCCTCTGGCACACCCATTATCTCCATTTGTTGCTTTGGATCGCGGATTCGTTGTATCTGATTGAAAAATTTCCAAACATCTTGACGAATAAGCCAGAAATTTAGAAAAAGAGAAGCAGGGTAGTGCAATGAAACGACATAATAGGACATAA